AGAGAGAGAGAGAGAGAGAGAGAGAGAGAGAGAGAGAGAGAGAGAGACAGAGAGAGAGATGGAGATAGAGACAGAGAGAGAGAGAGAGACAGAGAGAGAGACAGACAGAGAGAGAGAGAGACAGAGAGAGAGAGGGAGATAGAGACAGAGAGAGAGAGAGAGACAGAGAGAGAGACAGACAGAGAGAGAGAGAGACAGAGAGAGAGATGGAGATAGAGACAGAGAGAGAGAGAGAGACAGAGAGAGAGACAGAGAGAGAGACAGACAGAGAGAGAGATGGAGATAGAGACAGAGAGAGAGAGAGAGACAGAGAGAGAGACAGAGAGAGAGACAGAGAGAGAGACAGACAGAGAGAGAGAGAGAGAAACCTATCTCTCTGAGTTGACTTTGTAGCGGAGGACGAGGTAGGTCAACAGCCTCAGGATGATGAAGAAGATTCCCAGGACGATGAAGTCCATGTAGAGCTTTGCGTCCTCCACGTCCAGCAGCTGCAGGACCTCCTCAGGCTTCTGGAACTTGCAGACCTTCCCCGGACACTCCAGCTCTGAGCGGTTCATCCCGTAGATGGAGAGGATGACGCCTTCAAAGCCGTACCTGAGAGAGGAAACACACAGAGACACTGAGGCTAGATGATCTCCGTCCACACTGAAACGCCTGAAAACGAATATCACGTGACTCTTCACGTACCCTGGGCGTGATGGTGCCGGTGTACACTAGTAGATTGATTGCTTAGTTAAAGAAATATGACAGAGTAATAAAGTAGTCTTTAATAATGAAAGGTCGTGTTTGATACTTAAGATCTTCCTCTATAACTTAAACTCAAACAGACACATTTCGTGGAAAGTTTTATTTTTCAGACTTACCGGTAGTTACAGCGCTGTGGGTCTCTCTCTCTCTCTCTCTCTCTCTCTCTCTCTCTCTCTCTCTCTCTCACATCATATTTACTTTAAAATCAACACTTACACATAAAGGTTTATTAGATTATTGTCCATAACACACGTCTCTCACTCGTTTCCTCCGTTTCATTGTGTCTGTTCTCACTCGTAGCTCTGCTGCTGAAGTCTCTGTCCTGCTGCAGAGTAATCCATGTTTTGTTCCTTTATACTTCATGTGTGGACTTCACAATAGTTGTGCAGAACAAAATAAGCATTAATAACAAAAGGAAAGTCCTCCGTTTTGTGTCCGTCCTCCTCAAAGCCGCTAACTGTGACTTCAGACGTCCGCTCCGTAGGGCTGGTATCTCCGCTGTACACTGATCGCTCCAATAACAGCTGCTTCCTCCACAAACATGCAGACTTTAACTGAACAGCTGCTAGTAAAGACAACAAGGTCAGCAACGCCTGTCATCAGTTCTCCATGTTAAATTAACCTGGTAGTCGAACGGTAATCAATGTTGTCGTTTATGATCACGTGATAGACATGTGACGAATCAGGGAAGGACACGTCGTGACTGCAAACAACCAATCAAGTAGCGAACTCGTGTGTCTACGTCATCGTTTCCAAATGTTGCGTTTTCGACCGTCCACACGAATACGCAACCCCCGCGTTTTCATTTGCAGCTCGAAAACCCCGGCGTAGTGTGGACGCTCAGTGTAAACGTAGCAGAACATCTGCGTTTTCAAATGTAAATGTAGTCGTGTGGACGTGGCCTGAGACCGATCCATCGTCGCTAATCGCTAAGTGGATCATGAGTTAGCTCTTGACAGCGTTTACAGGTCATTGCACACGAGGACATTTTGAAATGACAGCGGTTTTAGACGTCGCAGAACTACTTAGAGAGTTAATCAAAGTAGATTTAGTTTGATCAAGTTAGGATATTTGATTCGTGGACAGACAGATCAAAGTGTGAACTGTTTCTAAAACTGAGAACTGCAGAGCCGTGAAGTTAATCACTGGACAGTTTGATTCATATTTTCCCCGCTCATCTTTGATTTCACTCGACTTTCTACTGATGTTGATGTGTTCACAAATCTAAATGAATGACTCGGTGAGAATAGAAATGATCCCGGGTGTAATAAAAACGTATTCTTGATGATGCTTTGCTGTCCAGACTCCTGCACTCACTCACCTCACATAAGACACGTAGGAGCTCCACTGCAGATATTTGGGGATTGTGTCAAAGTTCACAAAGAATCCAGAGAAGAGCAGCACTGGGATGGCTGTGACCGGTCCAACAAACGTGGCCACCTGTGTGAAGAAGGCAGAGGACATATTCTCACTAATGTGTATACCATGTGGCTATGACTCATATATCTAACATTACACGTTATACCTGTAGCGAGGTGGAGGCGGCCCCGACCAGAAGGCCCAGGGACTGGGCTACCAGGGCCGTGCAGGTGGACAGGGCCAAGAAGAGCAGGTAGCGGCTGGCCTCAGGAGGCTGCTCCGTCATCCAGTACACGATGCTGCAGTACAAGATGGGGCAGATCACCTGAAATCACAACAACGCCTTCATTTAGTGGAGGAACCCACCACGAGACGTCTAAAGAACCCGTGGAACCTGTGCTGAAGATAAACCGAACACACAGACACAGAGGAAAGATCCGTTCATTCCAAATGAGGCGACGTCACGCAAGTCTTCTTCAATACAGCATGATGTTCATTTAGTACATTATGGTCCATTTAGAGTCAAATAGACAAGAAAGCAGGGGATGCTTTAGGGCGGGGCTACACGGTGATTGACAGGTCTCTACCAGAGACGTATACGGCGTCTCTACGTCACTCCTCCTAATATGGTCACTTCCTGTTCACTGGTTGCAAAAAAGCCAAGATGGTGACGGCCAAAATGCTTTAATCAAGGGTTGAAAACCACAGTCCACAAACCAGTGGGAGATGTCATGGTGAGTACTTCATATATATTCAGTCTCTGGTCTGACTCGAGTACTCGAGTACCAGACACACAATCCAACCAGTGAAACCCTGCAGAAGTATATAATCCACTGCAACAACCAGGCAGTTCCTTCAAGTAGCACTAGAGGGCAGTGGAGCACTATGTGAGTCCCAGAGCCAGCTCACCTGGAACGGGATATCAGCCATGGTCTTGGCCAGGTAGTAGGCCTTCAGGCTGTACCAGTAGTTCAGGTGCTCCCTCAGGAACACGGACATCTCCAGAGGAACTAACAGACGGGTCACACACATCCGTCAACATCACATCACAAACACGTGAGATGTAGAATTCCGCGGGACTCACAGGTCAGCACGGTCGGCATGAGCGCTCCGAACATGATGAAGAGCATGGAGAAGAAGAGGAAGCCGGTGTTGTTGAAGACCTTGCTGGCGTCGTTGCCGATGTTGAGATAGAGCAACCCTATCAACACACCGATGAAGATGTGGGACATCAGTCTGAGGTGGGTCAGAACCTGAGAACACAGAACCAATACACATGCAGTGATTAAGGGAACCTCTTCATGTGTGTGGAACCAGCTCACAGCTGATAGAATGAGGGAACCCACCTGGTCCCGACATATAATGATGAAGGTTCTCTTGAAGAGGATACAGAACTGTGTTAGTGTGCTGGTGGCAAAAGAATGTCTCTCTATGTGTCCGGTGTCCTGGGGGGGGAGCAGATAATAACATAACATTAATAAACATGCATCACCAGACAGTGAGGCATCATTGGACCTCACACCAGAACCTTTCTCTTCCTTTCTCTTCACTTTCTCTTCCTTTCTTTTGTACGGTGGTCTCAGACGAGTGAGACGTCAGATTCAGAGAACGCTCCCAACTTCAGATTAACTGTACATCACCAGCGTGAACTCGTTGAATACCACCTTTGTGTAAATGAGCATGCGTTCATAAATATAAAATGTTAATTAGCATAATTAACGCCCCCACATTTACCATATTAGGCTATACGTGTCTGGAAGTGTTCATGCATTTCAGTGCTGCTCTCTGAGATCCGTGGTTCTTGCATGAGGCCCGATCTTCTCATCGAACTCTTGGTAAGAAAGTGAATAAGTGTGTTTCCCAAACAAGAACGAGTATCGTGGGCATAACATCAACTGAAAATACAAAGTACATAAAACCTGACTTTGACAGAACCTGGTATTTAAGTAGGAATCATATCTCTTCGGTTTATATTGTGAATATAAATGTACAACGACTTCATTTGGGGCCCTTGAGTGTCTGAGGTCCCTGCTCAGCAGCACTTCATCTGCTGCTACGTACCATCGGGCACTTTGCTGCACACACCGACTGGCCGTTGCTGTCACACTGGTTCTTCTTCTCTCCTAACGCACACATCCCACCTTGGACCGCCTCGAACAGCACAGGGTTCAGGTCTCCATACTCTCCTGAAGCCACTTCAATGACTGAGCCAGAGACAGAAACACAGATGAATGAATGAATGAGAAGGATCCTCAGCCACAGAGGAGTGGACACATGAATGGATGTTAGGCTCACTAAAGTCTGCAGGGTTGTGGTAGGTGGGACAGTGAAGGCCCAGCGTCTTCAGGTAGGGGATGAGGTACGGGACCGTTCCTTTGTAGATGCACTGTCCCTGACTGAGGATGTAGAGCTGGAGAGGAACAGAAACAGTCACGGCTGAAAGTAAAGGAGGCTTCTGACAGAGACACTTATCCACTGAAGGGCCCCAGACAGCTATCGATTCATGATGTTTAGATACGAAAAATATTAAATTATGTTACAATTCCAGCTCATTCTAGCCTGAAATAACTTACAAAATGCCCCCAAAGCACTTAAAAAGATACGCAACTCAACTACTATACTACTTACTGTGTACTTGTACTTAAACATTGTAGTTCTGGAGATATTTGAAGGAGACGCAGACGGACAGACTGCCGCAGCGTTAGATGTGACAGCACCACAGCTCCTCACACAATCAATAGAAGGTGGAACGTCGGGACTCGTACCTTGTCGAACATCTCAAACAGCTTGGCACTGGGCTGGTGGATGGTGCAGATGATGGTGCGTCCTCCCAGCGCCAGAGAGCGCATCAGAGAGACGACCTGGTAGCACGACACGCTGTCCAGTCCGCTGAGCAGAGACACAACGTTAACGAGCAGCAGAAGAAACCCGACACGAGAACGTCTCCTCAGGCTTTCATGAGACCGAGCCCCGGTTATTGATTCCTCTTCATCACTGAGATCTACAGTGAGAGCTCATCACTGAGATCTACAGTGAGAGTTGATCACTGAGATCTACAGTGAGAGTTGATCACTGAGATCTACAGTGAGAGTTGATCACTGAGATCTACAGTGAGAGGGCACTTCTATCTAAAGTTCTTTTGAGATGTGCCTGCAGTGAAAGAGGAATAACCTTAAAGGAAAAGCTTATTTGTATATATCAAACATATCTTTACACTATATATGAAGCTAGAGCCAGCAGCTGGTTCATTTTATGTATTCATAGTATTTCCTGGTTTGTTCTTATTGTATCGATTGGTGTTATTGTTTAATCTATTGTCCTGCTGTATCAGGGTTTAATGTTGCCGTACTTTGCTTTTGTTGGGCCTCACTGATGAGCTTCTGTGGTTTTATTGTCGTGCTTTAGCTGCTTTATCTGTCAAAGCACTTTGTAAACTGTCTTTAAAGGTGCTTTATAAATAAAGTTGTTATTATGTTAGCTTAGCTTAGCATAAAGACTGGATACAGGGGAAACAGCTAGCTTAGCTCAGCCCAAAGGTAACAGACATCTGCTGACCTGCAGCTCTAAAGCTCAGTTAGTGTCGTGTTCTCTTTTAAGGTGGTCTGGATTTGGGTGTTAAGCTTAAAACCTTTCTTTGAGTCAGTCTGTTGTCTGGTGCTTTAGGGATCGGGTGCAACATCAACCTTTTACGGTGCAAAGTGTAAGATGCAGGGGGCAGAATGTCACCTCTACTTCTGGGTCAATACAATCTAAAGTCAGTCATCAGTTATTACAAAAAGTTAACTAGTACCAGCCAGAGTACGTGAAACTCAACCAAACTGCTCAACATAATCTGTTTAACATGTTTTGTGTAGTTTAGCCACCTGTGTGTGTTTACTGTGATACTAACACGGGCTGTACTTTTGCACTTTGATAGTTTGTTTATTGGATTAAATCAAATTAAAGTGGCAGAAACGACAAAAAGACTCGTATCTGCTCCGTGGGAAGGACCTTCAGGTGACGAAGCTGTAGCGACACAAATTCAGTCATCGCCAACCTGAGTGCAGGGTATGCTTTAGGGCGGGGCTTCCCTTGTGATTGACAGGTTGTTGCCGCTACCAGAGTCGTATATGGCGTCTCTACGTCACTCCTCCACAGTCCAGATATGGTCACTTCCTGTTCACTGGTTACAAAAAGCCAACATGGTGACCTGTATTCCAAGATGGCGACGGGCGAAATCGGCAAACTCAAGGCTTCAAAACATCAGTCCACCAACCAACGGGTGACATCACGATGACTACGTCCACTTCTTATATACCGTCTGTGCTAACTGATGGTCTCTCTCCCGGAACCGCCGCACGCCCTCCTCCCGGTGAGGTAGTCTTGCGGCGGCAGAAACAAAAGTACGTACGAAAAGAAACGAAAGTACAATTTAATCCAATAAACAATTTATCAAAATGTACAGGAACCCTGTATCAACAACGTGATTGACAAGCCCTTTGAGCCAGATCATCTATAGCAGTTAGTTTGGAAGAGAAACTGAAACATAGTGCACCGTGATATTTAAAATAACCTAAATGATCCTTTAGTAAGTCTGAAGTTAACTGTGAAGACACGGTGAAGCTATTTGGTCATTATTAAGGTTTCCATGAGAGAAACTTTGAGAACCTGTTGAGATTGTTTAGTTCATTTGACAGTTAGTGTCCCAGAGCGTCCAGCTGCCCACAGCAGCCAGATGGTTCCTCTGGAATTAAGACTATAATTGTCAAAATCACTCCAACACCAGATGTCCAGCTGTCACTGGATCCATTAGAGGTAAGCAGCCAGATGTGCTTAATGGACCAACTTCAGCTGCCTCTGGGCCACCCATCATTTCACATCTTCACATCGGCAATTCATCTATTAACCAATTAACTTGGCAAAGTATATTGTTAGTAGAAACTATATTTTATGTTGTATTCCAGTATGTTTCCTTTTATATCCAACAGATGAAGCCTTCTGACTCCATGTGGTGAAAGTCAACATCTACTGTACGTATCATTCGATCTAAACACACGTCACACAGTTAAAATGTTCTCTATAGTTCCTCAGTCCACGTTAACCATCACAGCACATCGTGCGTCCGTCTGTCCGTCCGTCTCACCTGGTGGGCTCGTCAAAGAACATGACCGGAGGGTTGTTGACCAGCTCCAGAGCGATGGCCAGACGTTTGCACTGACCGCCCGACAGAGAGCTGGTACGAGTGTGAGCGCACTCCAGGAGCCCCAGAGCAGTCAGGATCTCATTCACCTGGACGGGAAAGATATGTTTAAAGTCAGGATTCAGTATTTAAGGAAGTATTATTATCATCTTTTCTTCTGTGTATGTTGAGCGAGTAGATGTGTTTCTCTCACCAGTTCTTTCTTCACCTCCATAGTCTCATCCAGCTTTAAGTTGGCTGAAACCTGAAACAAAGAGGAAGAACGTCTCATAAATCATGTAATGCAACATTCCTGCAGCACGTTGGCACAATAACCATCGACCTCTATCAACATATCCGTTACTGGTTCAGACAGAGTTTAAAGGATGACATCATCACTGCCACATTTTGAATGGTCTGTGCTCTGAACAGCTCACCATCATGGCCTCTCGGGTCGTGAGGTGTGGCAGCAGCATGTCCTCCTGCATGATGTAGCACGACATCTTCCTGAATGTCCTCAGGTCCCGGGGTTTCCCATTTACCCGGATCTGACCCTTCATCCCTGTTTCCCTGGACACACACACACACACACACAACTGTTGCTAACTGCAGTGGAAACGCTGTATTTAACTAAAATGGATTCATTAGATTAAAAACATGTTGTGAATCGTGGAAATGATCACATCGATCTTTTTTAAATATATGTTGACTTTTGGATTTATTGTAAATGTTTTGATCACACGAGTCAGAAACAATCCATCACTGGAATCTAAGGCTACAAATAGTATAACACTAACATATTAGAGTAGCCTGGTGTTTGTCTGTAAGAAGAGGAAGCTGTACAGATTTAGAATTTAAATGTGGGAATGAATGAAGCGTCCAACTATTGGATTTTGGTACAGTCCGTACAGTAGAAAGGGCTTTTGTCACTCTTACCTGTATCCAGCCAGAATGTTCATTAAGGTGGACTTCCCGGCCCCTGAGGGCCCCATGATTCCTATCAGCTCTCGACTGCAGAACCTTCCAGACAGGCACTTCAGTAAGGCTTTGAAACCTGCAAACAACACAGAGACCGCTTCATCACGGCTCAACCGACGATAACAAGGACCGCATCAGTCTCTCAGCGAGACCTCACTGTGTGTCCATGTTAACGCTCTGCATCTGTGTCAATGCACACACACTCTGAGTCACTTTCACTGAAACACACAGAGTCAACTCTGTGTTTCAAAATGAGGAACTTCATTTATAGCCATTTTAAATGAAACCTGTAATGGCCATCATGAAAATGTAATAAATGTAATATCAAACACAATAACCAGGATACGAAATGTATAAAATATATGAAAGGCCTTATCTTTTACTTCAATGACACCAACAGTAGGTACCAGCTGTGAAAGGTAATTTAGTTAATTGCCGATTCCCTTTGCACAGAAGCAGACAAATCAACCAGTAGGAGGCGCTAGATTCGCACCAAGGACATGATCCCTCACCAGCTTCCCACCAACAGGGCCGGGTTTCTGCTGCATCATTGGGGACCCTCACAAACACCGTCACTGAGGTGAGTCACTGTACCTGTAGTTCAGTCTTAAAAGGCACAAATATCATCGTGCATCACATCCTGCTCTCTTATGTTGTCATATACAAACGCTCCAGATAATAGGAACTTCCTCTCAGTCAACAGGAAAGTAAAATTGCTTTGGTCTGAAAGTATCAAATGTTGCACTTCAGTCTAACAGCATTAACACCGAGCGCTCAGTCACCTGCATCAGCCTCCTACGACATATTGTTTACGACCTTCGAGAGGAGCGGGATCAGAAAACACAAAGAAAACAACAAACTAGAGCTTGTGTTGTTGGAACAACCTGAAGTCCAGATGTTGCTCATGAACAGATGTTGTTAAAAGAGATCAGTGAGATGCACCCTTTTCTTTTAACATGGTTCACTGTGTATAGTTCTTCTCTTTATGTCATATCGTCAGTGTGCTGGAGGATTTTAGATTGTTGCTGAGTAGCCTGATATCAATATAACCCCTCGGCAGTTTACAACATTCGTACTTCTTATTAACTCATCTCACAGCTATGTTTGGGTTAACAGTCTAAGGCAATAAAAACATAATTACTTAATATGTATAGACTTGTAAGAGACAGAGAGAGGGAGACAGGGAGAGAGAGAGACAGAGAGAGAAAGAGACAGAGAGAGAGAGAAAGTTCACGTTTAAGTTATATGAAATATTTGTCACATTTCCAAGAAATAGCTTTGCACTGACGTGTTAATGCTGCTAAGAGTGTTCAGGCATGCCTTTTTATGCCTAGTTTAACCAGAAAATGCTTTTATTTGAGCCAAATTACAGCAGATTTATTATTTTATTAATATGTAATGATGGATCAAAACATATAAGAAGTACAGAAAGTGCATAACGGTGAAACATGTTATGTGACTCACTGACTGAGCTGCTGCTGGTGTCTGTTTAATCAATGTTTGATTTATTAATTGATGAAAGGAGTGTCTTGCTGTTGTAGGAACACTCTTTGTTTGTGTCGTGGACACAGCACTGTGACTCGGTGCTGTGGCTGTGTACAAACACAGTGAAGGAGGCTTGATAGAGAGCTGAACTGTGGAGCGATTGAAAAGAGACTTCAAACAAGTTCAAACACATGAAAGTACATCTATGAGTCAAGCTGAGCAGCACATCAATCCAGAGAGAAATGTGATTCTTCTACAAGAGTTTACTTCAAGCTTCTTCAAAGGTCGACAGGAAGGGAAATTTATGTATCACGGCACACACCTTTCCTTTCAGCCAACCTCACTTCTCCTTCCTTTCCTTTCACCCTACCTCACTTCTCCTTCCTTTCCTTTCACCCTACCTCACTTCTCCTTTCTTTCCTTTCAGCCTACCTCACTTCTCCTTCCTTTCCTTTCACCCTACCTCACTTCACCTTCCTTTCCTTTCAGCCTACCTCACTTTACCTTCCTTTCCTTTCACCCTACCTCACTTCACCTTCCTTTCCTTTCACCCTACCTCACTTCACCATCCTTTCCTTTCA